CCATAAAAGGAGAGAGGGTGAAAAGTCTTTTAATTAAGTCTCGCGAGATTACCAATGTTACAGAAGACTGGGGCTTGGTCTTGAAGTTTTCAGATGCATCTGTAGATGAATCATAACAGCACCAAGATGTCGGGACGATCAGGCCGAGCTGAGACCCGAAGTCGGGCTAAAGACGACATTAAAAAGGTTCTGGCAGCCATCGAGAAAGTGCGCAAATGGTATGTGGGCTATCTAAAGGACAATATGGAGGGGAATGTTTAGTGGACCGCTGCCTGCTATCTTGCTGCGTCGCTCAACAAACTTCAGTCGGAAAAGTTAGATGATTGACAAGGCTTCGGGCCAATCAGCGCCTCCGGTCGGCCGGAGGGGCGGGGCGTGTCGAGTTTTTTTTCCGCTGAGAGCTGTCAATATGGCTCCAGCAGCTTCGCATGCAGCGGGGCTTCAATCCGCTGAACTGCCCCGCTCGTTTCTGAATAACGCCAACAGCAAGCACCACCGAAAAGCTCACGATTTATAGCCCGCATAGCCGAGACTGTCAGAGAGCGCGTTAAGTTCAGTTACATCTGACGTGGACAGAGATAATATCGGCGCTCAGCATATTTTATCACCGACTGATACCCGCCGAGCAGATCGGGCGAAAGCTAAGCGCGTTCTGAACCCCGAGCTGATAATGACCGAATGAATCCGATCCACAGGGAGAAGAAGTGGGTGACAGTTGGAGACACGTCTCTGCGTATTTTCAAGTGGGTTCCAGTAACGGAGACAAAGCAGGTGTGTGGGCCTCCGTCATAAACAGTTACCGCTCCGACTGTGGTATGGCAAGCCGTCATGACATATAGTCAATCCACAATCCTTTTCCTGATCACATCAGACACGAGTAATGGCATCCCACATAGCAACAGTGTCACGCATATCAACTACAGGCATGATGACATTGTGATGCATAGAAGATAAGGTGAAAACCACTGATTATATCTTTACTAATGATAGATACCAGAGTAGTTAGTTTGAATATGAAATAAAAAATGTATATAAGATATGAAACATTCCTTAATATGTTATAAGTAGATGTTTGAAATGCTGGTTATTCTGTTGATTTGGTAATCTTATCAATCACCAGAATTGATAGATTTGATTCTGGTAATTGAATCTACCCATTCAATTACCATAATGAAAAGGTTTTTGAAACATCAGTTCAACTGTCCTCATCAAAAGTATCGTTTTACGTTTGTTTTTTTCTTTTAACTTTTGTCCTAAATTAAGTTTTTCTTAAATCCTTCAGGCTAAGTTCCCCTCTCCAATTTATGTACCTGCAGATGTACATTTTTCTCTGTCTGAAATTGATATTCTGAAAAAGACAAAAACATATGGATAGCTACAATGTGGTTGTTGTAGTCATAATTTATGTTTCACATCCTGTGAGATCCATTTACTTAAAGTATTTTTTTTGATAGTTACAATAAAAGTGTTTTTAAATATTATTTCAATTATTAGCATGTGAAGCTACTTTTAAGTGGTTCGAATAAAATATTTGGTTCATCGATGAAGGCTCCATAGGTTCTGTAAAGATTTTGTAGAACTGTATTTAGTTATACAAAATCTGAAAATATTATTTTTCCTTCTATTTGACACATATGAACTATTTTATGTTGATCTGTCCTAATACACACCATTAAGGTGCGTAGTTAACACACGGGGAGGGGCTGGGAATTTGAATACACTTCAATGCACCATATCTGAAATGTATATTTCTTCAAGAAAGATTATAGCACTTGTATCAACCATCTATAGTCTAGATACGGATAGTGTCCTGTTAAATGATGGAGTTGAATGTTTAAAAAGTGAAGTTTGCCAATGATGGAGGGACATACTTCATGTATAATGTAAAATGATTATTTTCACAGGAAAGAATTCGATTATATGCATCATATTGAAACATGTTTGCCACAGATTGTCTCCATCTAACACATTTTTATAATCTATTTTAATCCAATAGATATTTCGCACCAAATCCACTAGTGGAGAGGTCCGGGGTCTCAAAGATGTAGTGATTGAAAACACCAACTCAATGCTGGATTTCACCGGTAGGTTTGATGTTGGGGTTTAATGAGGGTAACAATAAAGCACACCGAGATTCGAATCTCGACTGGAATATGATTTTTTTTTTTTTTGACCAAAAACGAGCTCGTTTTAAGAATTGAAGAAGTCATGTGATATGCTCACAGATGAAAACAGCAACCAGAGCTTTCTGTCGGACGTTTATCAGCCAAAACTTGACAACAGCAGCAGCACGTCGAGCTCGCAGCACGTCAGCCCTCCGCATGCCTACAGCCTGCGGGCTGAAGACTCTCAGCCTCCCATGCTCGGACAGGAGACGGTCGACGGTATGAGAGTTTCTCTTTAATCGGCAGGTGCTCATTTTAAGGCCATGCACCTGTCACTTTAACAGTCTCTGCGTTTATGTTGTGAACAATGTACTCCAGAACCAGTACATTCGGGTCGGGAGGGTGCAGACGAGCCACCGACGCTCATCAAGGAGGACCCGCTTACATCTGGAACTGCCAGGCGGAGAACTCCAGACACTCAGGTTTTGTACATGAAACGTATTTCAATAAAGAATGCAAATGCCGCTACTAATACATTTTACATATTGAGCATCTGTTGTGTGACATAATTTTAAATTATTGACTATAACTTGACCCTTTTTTTTCCCCTCAACAGGATGAATTAGATGAATCGGGAGCGCCGCCTTTAAAGAGGATTTGCACAGGGGAAAATAATGGCTTGAGATAGCTTTTTTTCCCCCTATTTGTTGATGTAAGATTAGCAAAGCTTTCAGAAAATTTCTGGTTCAGATATTACATTTCTGCAATTAGGGAAAATGATTTAGCTTTTTTATGTTTAGAATTTAGTGTTTTGTTGTTTGGGTTGACTTGCTTTTAATTGAATGAAGACAGTTTTGTACGCATCCCTAGGTATCTCACTTCAGATGCTGAAACATTGAATTTTCTAAGTTGTACTTTAGTTAGACTTTTGCTATTCTTATGAACAGACTGGCTAGCCTTTTTTTTTTTTTTCATGTGTAGCTTGATGCAGATTGATGTTTAAATGTAACCTTAAGTTTTCAATTTGATGTTTCTTGTGATAAATCTTATGGTTTGTTTCATTCAAGAATAAAGTGATTTTTAAAAAATCAACAGTTTGCTTTTTAAAAATAATTAATATGTTCTGTAAACAATCCTGAGTGGTATGTTTCTCCTCGGATGTAATCAATTCATGGGTGCCACCGATGCTTCAAATGAAGAAAAGCATTTCCAGAAGTTGAAGACTCTAATTTTGACGATGAACTAAAATATTTCACCATTTTTCTTTTTCAGTTTTATTTTTCGTGTGTAGTTCCAAATCTAAAATGCAGAAACCGATTAAACTTGAAGTGGATTCTAGACTAAACACAGATTTTTGTTTTGCTTTGTGTGCAACTTAAAATTTATGAAACTTTTACTTCAATAGTAGTAGTACATTCTCCTAATACATTGCAACTGTATTGTTCGAAACTGAAGAAAAGAATCATTGAATAAAGATGATTTAAAACACAACTTTAACATCAACAGTTTTTGCAGTGTCTTTCTCTCCTAAATGAAGCCACCATTAGAAAGGCTGTAGCCATGAACTCTTAAGTAATTTTTTTTAAATGAAAAGTTTTGTTAAAGTACTGCCTTTTATACAGAGTAATCTGACATGTAATAGGCAGGTAGAGAAGTGGGGAAGACAGAAAAGTCCAGGGATCAGAAATCCATGTGTTGTGCTTACGTCACTCAGTGGACTATGTTGCAGAATTTTCACTTTTTTACACCTTGCTGGATTTAATTGGCTTGTAAATTTCTTCAATTTAGAAGTGCTTTATTTAACCACAAAGGGAAGTTAAATGTTGTTGAAACTCGCGATGGCACAGTTACTTTGAGAATGTAACTTTAATCAGATTACTGATTACTCCTTGAAGAAGTAACTTCGATTACTGATTTGGAAAGTAACTAAGTTACTTTAAAAGTAACTTTTTTAGTTACTTTCAGCAGCTGCTAACAACAACAATGCTCCGCCACCTGTGAAAATCACATTGATCTGTGCCAATACTTAATTGCAAGTTATTTTATAATGATTACATCAACAGTGTGTCTCCACTTATATGGTTGAGATTGTTTAATGCTTACAACAGCACAAAAAAAATTAGTAATTTGTACGTGTTTTTGTGGGGTTCTATTGTCTGGAAAACAATAGAACCCATTACTGATACCACTGGTTGAAACTCATCTAAGTGTCTCTACAGAGTTGTGGATGGTGATGCTATGAGCAGGAACCATCTCCTATAGCAGTCAGTCTTGCAATCAGTCTGATGGAACCTCTGACTGAAGAATGCTACTATATAACAGTGTCATAACTGCACTAGAATGCTAAAAGCTCAACTTCTGGGCAGCAGAGACAATATAGTAACATGTGCTAGATGACGCCAACACCATTAGTTCCTTGCAAGCACTGCTAATCCACCCCATTTGCTTTTGCTGCTTAAAATGATATATCAAAAAACTCCACTGGATTGCAGATCCAGCATGAATCGTGATCTTATGTGATGCAGCAGAAGGGGCTCTGCATTTAAATAAAAGCTGCCACTGGCTCTGAAAGGCCTGTTAAAAATAAAAATGCAAATGAAGTTTAAAAAAATTAATTGGGAGGAAAAACGTAGATTAATTACCCAATTTCTTTCAAGTTTGTTTTGGGTTTAGTTAACTAGCGATTTTGTCATCTTCAGGCAACTTCCTATTATTTGCTGTTCAACAGAAGCGGTTTATTTAATGTTCCTACTGACAGATGATGACAGACAGGCTCTATTAGCCAATGATAGCCAATTTTCAGCAATTCAATCAAGGCGCTACGTCAAGACAGCCAATGAGCTTTGAGAGGAGGCGGGGCGTAGGCGCGGCGCTGCCTGCTGCCGGGGAAACGAGCTGAGGGTTCTTTTGCCGGTGGACTAGAAACTCCCGCCATTTCGACAGGGAATTAACCTCTTGTTTGATTGGGGATACTTTCTTGTGACACTTGCGAATATTGTTTATTGATAAAACGAAACAGCGACAGCACAGCTAATCAGCAAAAAAGATCTGATCTAGTTTAAAAATACTTTGTTAGGACAGTGAAACTGCAGCCGAATTGAGCTCTGGCTGTTACCGCGAGTTTGATTTCGGTGTGGTTCTCAATCTTTCGTGTTCACCTGAAGGAACTAAAACTTTACCAACTAACCCGTCGGAGCAAAGCTTTAATATCTTTTACTTCCCGGATTTCTGGTTAAACCCAGCGCGTCTCCGCAGCTGCAGAAGCGGAGAATGTTGCGATGAGGCCATCGGTGAGAAGCGCACTGTTATTGTTTTGCAACGAGATAGAGAGCCAGACTGCTAGCTGATTAACTAGCTTCGGCACGCTCAGAGCCGGGGCCTGCCGGCTGTAAAGCGAGACGTGCTAGCGCTCGGTACATATATTACCGACGCTTGGATACATGCTAAGAACTAACAAGGAGTAAGGCCGTGCTAGTTTGTTGCCAGAAAGTCACGTTTAACCTCTGGCACTCGTGCCGTCTTTGGAACTGCCATGGCACCGCTTCTGGGCCGGAAACCGTACCCGCTGGCTAAGCCGCTAGCCGAGCCACCAGGCCCGGGAGAAGAGGTCTACATCATCGAGCATACCAAGGAGGCCTTCAGGAACAAAGAGTATCCTTTAACATCATGCTTTGAATCGATCTACCAAGCCAATCGCTACGTTGGTGGTCCGTCTATTATTTGCCTGGTTAGCAGTTAGACGCTTCCATTATTTTTATTCACAGGCCTGTTAAGGTGGTCAAGGAATTTGACATTACCTGTCATTTCTGTCCCTTAATGTCTCAATTACATGTACTCTGTTTAGAGTGGATGACAAGCTTCCTGGCTAACCATGTCACATCCCTAACTGCTACATTACAGCTATTCGTTAGCCTTTGAAACAGGTTAGAATTAGACATAAAACTAAAGTTTGCTTAATTGTTCGTGAAATGCGGACGAGTATCTTTCACTTTCAGCTTTCACGGCTAAGCTGACAGCTAGCGATGCTAGGAGGGCTAGTTAGCGCACTGCTAACGCTAGGCATCCCATTATGTCACAATGCTGCTGGCCTTGCTTCCACGGAGCAAAGCGGCAGCTCTGCTGGCAGGGGCTAGCTGGTCCTGTTAGCACACAACAACCTTATAGGACAACAGGGCGCTGAAACAAATTATCTCAAGGTTTTACTCGCTATTTGGCCTTTGTAGCCTCTTGTTTAGGGGTTGTTGATATCAAAGAAGCGCAAGTAGTCCTTAGCTGGCAGGCAGGTTGTGTAGCTAGCTGTCAGCACGCAGATGGGAGTAAAAGTAGCCAGGTGCTCCTGTGACTCCCTGATTCGTTGTTATGCTATGTTAAGGTACAGTATTTTAATTTGTGACACAGCTGTTCATGTTTTGAAACTGAACAGATGACTTCTTACTTTGGTCGCTGTCAGATTTTAGAGGACCAACTATAAACAAGACCATTGTCAAGAGAGTTGTTAGTTAGTTATGTCTTCTTCCATCTTCCTTAGATGAAGTCAAATAAAATGATACACAGTGCCTGCTAACATTAGATGCCATTCATGATAGATGTGGGAGGGGGAACACATCAATGAATTGGAGGAAATAATTTTTTTGTTTCGAGTCTTGACCTGCTGATCACTGCTTGGGGCCAATCAAGGACAAATTGGTCGATTCTGGCCCTTCTGGCAATTGATTGGTGCATCTCTAGAAATATTCAAATAATTTCATAGGCTATATTTGATTAAATTACATGTTCAGGGTGAACCTTTGAACTCTTCTCGAATTAAAGGAAAGGACACCAGCTTTTCTGGAATCTTGCAAAGATGAGCAGATGTTGACAAAGGATGGATGAATTATAAGCACATAAATTATCTAATGGTGAAATAATTCAAGAATATTTTGCCTTATAAAGTTATTTTAATTTCTGTTTGGGTCAGTCAACTTATGGAGAGTATGTGATTGCTGATCAAACCATAATAACTCCAAGTGACCTCCTGCTGGTCATGCAGATTATTGCAGTTATGTAAGCATATTTTCTTACAACAGACTATAAGCAGATCAAAAAACATTAGTTTAGATCATCCATTGGAACAGTGCAAGTAAGGCGTCTCTGTTCAATAGCTGTCTCTTGACAGAGGATTTATGTAAATTACAGAAAAAGTTAAGAATGAATGACCATACCTTATTTCGCTTCATAAAGAATGATAAGACATTGATGTGTTCATATTAATTACAAAAGAAATTTAAATACTTCACAACTTTTCCTAACCACACCCTATGACTCTGCATCTGGCTTTTATAGAAAGCTAATCACTTCTCATTTAGACATTGCACCGTCCTTGACAAATTGTGTCTAGAGAGTATGAGGCACGCCTGCAGAGGTATGATGAACGCATCTGGACATGCAAGAGCACAGGAAGCCTCCAGCTTACTCACAAAGAGGCCTGGGAGGAGGAACAAGAAGTCACAGAGCTGTAAGTGCGAGAAGCTTTAATCTAATCTCCGCTGGCTGCCGGAGCTGGTCTGTGATGATAGAAGGAAAAAAAAAGTTTCCTTTTATCATCCGTAGGTTTATTTTGTCATCACATCTGGAGAAAACTTTAAACCCATCAATGATCTGATTTCTATAAATACTTGCAAACAGTTTAGATGGACTCTTCAAGTCGTGTGAAAGCTGAATCGGATCATAGGGAACCGTAGTCTGCCAGCACAGGTCATATGGTTCACTGCTTTGTCACGGCTGAAATGATGAGCTTCACCTCTCAATGTTTTAATACAAAGTCTGAATTTGTCATACTTCAATATGTAATGGTCTAATGACGGTTCCTTTAGCCAGGTCTTTCTAACGACATGACCTTAGGAAGGCCTCATAGTACAGAGCAGATAAAGAGGTGCTCTGATCACTCAGGGTCATAAGCTGTATTTAAACTCTTAATTATATCCCCAGATTGTTTACTCCCCCTAGTGGTCACTGCTGCTTTTTTCAGCATCCCCACAAACTTGTGAACAACATATTGATAAGAAATATGCTTTAATTTATAATAATGGTAATATTGTTAACATAAATTGTATAATTTTAGTGTGACACTACCCATGTGTTTTTTTTTAGGCTTCAGGAGGAGTACCCTCTGTGGTTTGAGAAGCCAGTCCTTGAGATGGTCCACCACAACACGGTGTCCTTAGACAAACTGGTGGAGATGGCCTGGGTGGAAATCCTCACCAAGTATGCTGTTGGTGAAGAGTGTGACTTCCTGGTTTGTTTTGTTTTTTTATTTACTTGTTTTATTGCACCCTTGTTATCCCAGATAAAAAAAATTGTAGCCATTTAAAAGGGCAATATTATGTATTTTTCAGGTACATGTAGCACAACCAAATAATTGTTACCTTCAGTTGTTTTAAAAATGCTACATGACAATGTCAAATCTATTTGAAAAGCGCATTTAAAACACAGCAGTTGACCAAAGTGCTTCACAATTACAGCAACCAGTTTATCTTTTAAATCAAACATGACTGAAAAGAAATTTGCAATTTAATGCCTTGAAATTGGGCTTCTGTATCTTTAAGAAGCTCCTGCTCTTTCTGGCACTCCACTGTCACAACAATGCTCCTCATTAAGCAGTTTACATATAATTTACATTATATTAGGAGCGATGGGCTGAGAAGTAGTTTCTATAATAAGGTGTTTGTTAATGACTGCTGCCACTAGTCTGGAGGAGCCAAGTGGGGAATGGCTGGGGGAGGTGTGCTCTGTGAGGCAGAAGCTCCAAAGAGAAGCTTTGTGGAAATGGGCGGGGCTTTGAGAAACAAGCGTTTAGTAGTGATGGGTCCGGCAACGCCGATGCATCGGTGCATGTGTCAAGCAAATCAGAAAGCGCGGTGACGAAAGAACGGAGGGAATCCCAAACACTTAACATGGCAACTGAGAGTCCAGTGGACATCGGAGTAAATCCATTCTCCTGTCTCTTCTCTGGGCCTTTTCCCTTCGCATAGAAACTTTCCAAAGACATCTGATCTGTTTTTTACTCATTTTGCTACTTGTGGCTCAATGTCGGCACTTAAGAGGCAACCGAGCGAATCCGATTAAAAAACTTGCAAAAAAAAAGATTCTCCAGACTCAAATAATACATAAGACAGAAATATTTAATTATTTCTTGTGCAGCCTGGTGGTTGGGGATCACTGGACTAGGTCATCAAATAAGTTTGTCAACTTTGTTGCCTGCAGGGATTTTTAATATCCAGCAGGTGTCAGTATTCAGTGACACAGTATTGCCACAGTATCAGTACAATTTTGCTATGGGTCAAAATGCTTCATGACGCCTCATTTAGCCATCACTAGCATTTAGGTACCCCTGGATAGCTGCCACAGGATATTCAAGTATTTCATAAAACATGCATGAAAGGATCAAAATAACATTTCATTTATTTTTCTTGGTGAGTGAATAACATTCTAACATGATGTAAAGCTCAAAAAGTAAATTCTACATAATACCGCCCCTTTAAAAAAAGCTCATGTGAAACAATAAAGTTTTGATGGATTTAAGTTCATTAGATTGACAATAAGCTTTCAGCAATCATTTTATAAAATGCTCCAGTTCTGATCTAGTTTCACTTTTTTTTTCTTTCTTTGCTGCCAATTTTAGGTGGGAAAAGATCAAAGTTTGCGAGTGAAAGTGATCAAGATTCACCCCTTGGAGACCCCAGAGGGCGAGTCGGGTGAGAAGAAGCTTGAAGGTGCCTGTGACTCCCCATCCAGCGACAAGGAGAACGCAAGCCAGGAGAACCAGAGGAAGGAGCCCCCGTCTCGAGAGGAGGAGAACAGAAGGGAGAGTCTGAGTACGTCGTTGACCCTCAGAGTGTTTTAAAGCCTCTTCCTGTTTGCTAACGTGTCGTCGGTGCGTGCTAATAGGTGACAGAGCGCGGCGTTCTCCGAGGAAAGCTACCACTGCCATGAAGGAAGAGAAGAAGAGATGGGTCATGCCCAAATTCCTTCCTCATAAATATGACGTGAAGCTCATCAATGAGGATAAGGTGAGTAACTTGTTTACTGTGTTGCTTTTAATGGATTTTCTCTGACTTGATGCAACCATCAGTATGTCATTTACTTGCTACTGAAACTGACCCTGCTCTCCCATCTTCCTCTACTAATAATAGGTGATCAGTGATGTCCCAGCAGACAGTCTCTATAGAACAGAGCGACCTCCAACCAAGGAGATCATGCGCTACTTCATCAGACACTACGCCCTGAGGCTGGGCAAAGGAGAAAGCGCCCCCTGGGTGGTCGAAGATGATCTGGTGAAAAAATACAACCTGCCCAGTAAATTCAGCGACTTTCTCCTCGATCCACAAAAGGTAATGATAACCACAAACTGAAATGTATTTTTCTTAAGATTTTACGTGAAAAGCCCACACAAAGTACTGTATTGACAGGATGTGGAAGAAAATGGATAACCTCAGTGTAGATCCAGTGAAGGTTTATTTGAGAACGTTAGTAAACGAATGGCATCAAGAAGACCCAAGGAAGACAGCAATGAGGAATGAAGCTGTGGTGAAGTTTAAAACTGTTGGCAGCTATGAGATGAACTCATGATTTCTTTTCACTTCACAAGACTGAGCCACTTTGTGCTGAATGACAACATAAAATCCTCCAAAAAAAAAAAAAAATTCAAAATTAAGGTTTAAGTGTTACAATTGTAGAAGAAAAAGGAAGTTCAAGGCATATGAATATTTTCTTTCCCCCAAGACACTGCTCTTTAATATTGAGTAATAGTTTCTTTTCCTGTGTGCTCATTCCTTTTCTTTGTCAACAGTTCTTGGCAGGAAACCCGTCCACGAAGCGTAAAAGCTTGACTTCTCCCGAAGGTAAACCTAGCAAAAAGGTGAAAACTGGTGACACTCCTGGAGAGGACTCAGGAAGTGAGAAGGGAGAGAAGAAGAAGAAGAAGAAAGAAGGGTTGCCTCTTAGTCCCACCATATGGGGTCATATGCAGGTTAGTTGACGGGTTTCCACTTCATAAGGTGTGAAGGTCCTTAAGGGAAGGAAATCGTTCCACTTAGGGGCAATACACACCAGCAACATCAGCAAATTTTTTAACTTGCACTGTGCAGTAATGTTTGCACTACTGAATAAAACATGAATGGAAACGGCACATCTGGACTGTAGCTCTTCCTCTTTTGTGCTGCTGTGGTAGTTCTTCTTCTACTGTTTTATTGTAGCACCATTAGCCACCTGCAGGCGTAAATGAATAACTGCACATGATAAAAATTAATAGATGTGGTTTGATGCTGTGTGTGAAAAGTGTCTGTTGTATAAAAGTGTTTAATTACTTTTTTCATCTCTTAGGACTCTATGATAAATCCATTTTATTAATTAATCATATTTTTTGGTATTTGAAGATTTATTCTTTTTCCACCAATGCACTCACTGAGTTTCTGTATTTAAAATTTTGTTTTTTTATATATCTTCTATTTTTTTGGACTTTGAATGTAAGCCATGTTGCACACCCCTAAGCTCTGTTTTTAAATAATAAGTAATTTTTTTTTACTATTTCTTTCAGAAGATGAAGATGAATGGCTCCCCCCTAAAGGTAAAGAACTCTGGAACTCCTAAGAAAGGAGACGGAAAAGGCTCTGCTCCCTCCACTCCAAGGTCCGGCAAGAAGGCCGGGGACAAAAAAGATGGGAAGAAAAGCGGAAAGGGTGGTGATAAGAAACTTGATGTTCTAAAATCTTCTAAAAAAGATGGAAAAACTGGCGATAAGACGCCAAAAATGAAGCAGATGACTCTGTTGCAACTGGCTAAGGGAACCCCTGCAGCGAGCCCGAAGAAGCGGGCTCGCAGCTCCAGTCTGGGCACACCCAAACTTGGGAAGCCGCTGCACCCTATGGCGTTGCATCTCGTCCGCTACTACAAGGAGCACAAGGGAAAAGAGGATAAGAAGACGTCCCTCTCTTCCCTCATAACCAAAGCTGCCAAGACGTTGTCCGCTGAAGACCGCGGGCGTCTGCCGGACGAGCTGAAGGAACTGGTACAGAAGCGATGGGAGCTGCTGGAGCAGAAGAAGAGATGGGCAGCCATGAGTGAAGAAGAGAAGAACGAGGAGATGAAGAGGAAGCGCGCCGAACTCAAAGAGAAGCTAAGAGAGAAGGCCAAAGAGAAGCGCAAGCAGGAGATGTTGGTCCGCCAGGAGCAGTCGCGTAGATATGAGGATCAGGAGATCGAAGGCGGCAAAGCGCTGCCGACGTTCAAGCTGGTGGACATGCCCGAAGGCCTGCCCAACACGCTGTTCGGCAGCGTCGCCATGGTGGTGGACTTCCTCCACTGCTACGCCGGGTTGCTGATGCCCGAGGACCAGTACCCGATCACAGCGGTGGCTCTGATGGAGGCGCTGGCCGGGGAGCGCTCCGGATTCCACTACCTGAACCGCGTGTTGGTGGTGCTGCTGCAGACGCTGCTGCAGGACGAGCTGGCCGAGGGCTACAGCGAGCTGGACATGTCCCTGTCGGAGATCCCGCTCACCATGCACTCGGCGTCGGAGCTGACGCGCCTGTGCCTGCGGCCGTGCGACGCGCACGACGAGAGCGGCCAGGGCTCGGAGGACTCGGGCGCGGTTGGCGGCTACGACGACGTGGTGAGCAGCGAGTTCCTGGAGAAGCTGGAGACGGTGGAGGTGTTTGAGCTGAGCCCGGAGGAGAAGGTGGACCTGCTGGTGGCGCTGTGCCACCGCATCCTCATGACCTACTCGGTGGAGGACCACGTGGACGCCATGCAGCAGCGCTCGGCGGAGCTGTGGAAGGAGCGCCTGGCCATGCTGAAGGAGGTCAACGACCGCAAGAAGGCAGAGAAGAAGATGAAGAAGGAGATGGAGAGCAAAGGTGGGGTCAGTCCCGGTTGTGTCACGGGTTCATCCGACACGTTAAGATATTTACCAACTTTTACGTTTTCTTGGCTCAAAGGTGAGAAGAAAAAGGAGGGAGCAGCTAAAAAGGAGAGCAAGAAGGAAGTGAAGGTGGAGCCGGAGCCGGAACCTGAGGACCTGATCAGCCTGGTGAAGAGCCGGCGGCTGATGGCCATGCAGGCCAAGAAGGAGAAGGAGGAGCTGGACCGGCAGAACAAAGGTAAACCTGGCAGCTGGCCAGTCATTTGGCTTCTGGCCATATTTGACCAAGCTTCTGAAGCTATTTAACTGTGGTGTACTGGTGCAGAGTTACCACATAAATATGTAATTCAGTGCATTTATACCTATTTTAAAAAAGAAATGGATTAGATCAGTATGGACTGTTTCTAAAAACTCAGATATCTGTATCAGTATGGAAAGTGAAGGAAGTGGACTAGTGCATCTCTGTGCTAAATGTTGTGATAAAAAAGCGTCATTGGGTGCAGAGGCCTTTCAAGCCTCTTCACTATGAATGACTGACTGACGGTTTCTGTGTTGGCTCTGCAGAGCGGATGGAGAAGGAGGCCGAGGAGGAGCGGCTGCGGAAGCAGAAAGCCTCAGCAGAGCGCGCCTTCCAGGACGGCATAACCAAAGCCCGACTGGTGATGCGCCGGACACCGCTCGGCACCGACAGAAACCACAACAGGTTGCTGCTCCATCTGTGTGCTGACCTCGTCCAGCGTTCTGCCGCGGCAGCTGAGGGCCTTCTGATAAATGAATTAGTCCCAACTAATGTGTCGTTTTTGTTTTTTTGTGAAGATACTGGCTTTTCTCCGACGTGGTTCCCGGGCTGTATGTCGAGAAGGGCTGGGTGCACGACGGCATCGACTACAGCTTCACTCCTCCACCCGAGGAGAAAGCGGCTGAGCCAGAGATGGAGGAAGAGGAGGAGGAAGGCAGCGAGGCAGCTTCAGTTCCCGATTCACAAGGTAGAGGTACGATCAGATCTGGAACTAGGTTCACATGTGTGGTTGTGTGTTTCCTGTACACCAGGTGTGCGTTTGAATTGCAGAAGCTGAAAAAGACGACGCGAGCGTCGACGGCGCTGCAAGTGAAGGAGTCCATCAGGGGGCAGCACCAGACGTCTGCATTGAAACTACAATTCCTAAACAGGGGCAGAATCTTTGGTGGGCATCTACATTGGCTGTTTTCCCAACGATGCTTTATTTTTATTCTCATTTCATCTTAATTTAAATTTGACTTTCTGACTTTCCTTCCAGGTTTGTCATCGACAACCCGGCTGAGCTGGAGGATCTGGTGGAAAGTCTTCATCCTCAGGGAGTTCGAGAGAGCGAGCTGAAGCTAAAGATCCAAAGCAGGTGAATGGGCTCCTATAATTGGACATAATTACTTTAACACACACAGGGCAGGGCAGCCTTATGACTACCAGCTTAATGTGACCTGCTGCAGAAAAAAGACAAAATGTCTAACTTCCTTTAAACCTTAAAACCAAACCTACTTCTACAGGAAGCAGAGCAAACAAACCTGCTTTTATGAACAATGTGACAATAAGGCTGCAATAGAGAATTTAAGTAAATATAAAACTGTAAATGTTCAGGTACCAGGACATCCTACACTCCATCTATTTGAGTCGTAAATCCAAACTGGGACTCAGGAGCTGTGACGGCTACGCCGAGCTGCTCAAATACATGCGCAGCGACATCCAGGAGATACTGGCTACCGACAGTAGAATAGAAGAGTCACATTGCTTAAAAAATGTCCCACCCCATGTAACTGTATGTACGCTTCTCTGATGAAAAGACATGGAGAGACATCAGTCACAGCTCATCAGGCATGTGTCATCAAGAAGTTCCTGCAGGGCTTCATGGCTCCCAAGCAGAAGAAGAAGAAGAAACAAGCAGGGGAAGAAAGCAGCAAGGCCGAGGAGGTGGACGAGGAGAAGAAACTAGCAGAGGAAGCCAGGGTAAGACCGCCACACAGCAGGACAGCAGTTTCCATTTCCGTTGTCTCACAGATGTATTCATACCTTAAACTTTTCCACATTTTGTCATGGAGTGAAATTAAATCAAAATAGCAAAAATAATTGTGTAGTGGAAGAAAAATAATTCTTGTTTTTATTTTTCCAATCTGAGTGTGGCTTATGCATGTATTTGGCCTAATTTATTCTGAAACACCTAAAAACTGTAAAGCAAGCAGAGCATGTTGCGGAGATGTTTCTCTGTTCAGGGCTGCAATTTCACTTGTAAAACTTATGGACACATGTGCATCTTCCATTTCTAAGATTTAAATACTTTTAGAGTTTACTGTTGTAACAAACTATTAAATGTTTTCTTTTTTTCTTTTTTTTTGCAAAGTTCTAAAGGCTGAAATCATTTTTGAATTAACCGTCGGCTAATTTAGTGATGGATTAATCGTTAACAGGAGCATGCAGACTCAAAAAAAGTATTTGCTGAAAAAACAGTCAGCAGTAGTTCAGCCAAAATTGTTCAAAATATATTTACATTAAACATTAAAGGATTTGTCTGTAAACATGTTCGACCCAGAACTCGTTAAGTGGCAGTTTCAGCTTCGCCTGGTTCAAATTCACTGAAGGCATGCCGTTGCTGCACCTTAGGCAATAAAATGTTTACTTTCGTCTTTATAAAGAAATTGAATTGTTTGTTTTCGTTTGCATCTTTTGAATTCGTATAAAAACGTCACTCTATTTATGCGATTAATCGTTGTGGTAATCAATTACTAAAAGAATTGTTAGTTACTGCATTAGAGTCACTGTAAGCCACCAGGTTGATCATTTGAAAAAGACAAAAAGAAACTGGGTTAATCTCCTCCTGTCAGGTAGCCACAGCGGTAGAGAAGTGGAAGTTGGCCATCAGGGAGGCGCTGACCTTCTCCCGGATGCACGTTCTGCTGGGAATGTTGGACGCCTGCATAAAGTGGGACATGTCTGCAGAGAACGCTCGCTGCAAAGTCTGTCGCAGGAAAGGTAAGGAAGGCTTACTACTTCTTTTTTTATTATTCTTATTATTCTTTTTAAACACAGTTTGGCTTTTGTATGCAGACGTGCGTCAGATGTTTTTCGTTTCCTGTTTATTTTCTGAGCTAGCGAGACTCACTTCAGAAACATTGACCCTGACAGAACTGGAGTAGCGACAGCTTTTCCCTCGTCGCTACAGAACAGCGGCGTTGCGATGAACTGCCTGTTACCTCTTGAAGTTTTCACAGACGGTTTATCTGAATGCTGCAGTGGTCTCATCCCTGTCCAGAACTCAGGAAGGACATGCCTCTAAGGCTGATGGAGTGTAGGACCAGACCCAGACAGGGAGGCAGCAGAAAGCTCAGAGCAGAGCAGGGTAGATGTGTCAGGCAGGTCTACGTTGAGAGCCGGCAGCTCCGCACGCCCTCAGGTGACCCTGTTGTGATCTGCTACCTGCACAGCACTGGCAACACTCACAGCAGTTTGATTTAGATTGAGCAGGAAAGGAAAGAAGTGAAGGCATGGTCTTTAAATAACAGAAAAAAACCTCTCTAGTTCACTTTTGTTTTATTTTTTTTAAAACCTCTTCGGCTTCAGGCGATGATGAGAAGCTCATCCTGTGTGACGAGTGCAACAAGGCGTTCCATCTGTTCTGCCTGCGACCGGCTCTGTACCGCATCCCTGCTGGGGAGTGGCTGTGTCCTGCCTGCCAGCCCACCGTGGCCAGGAGGGGCTCACGCTCAAGGTGGGGGGCCCGGAACCGGCCGAGTCACCTGAAGCTGCAGAGACCTGCGCGTTTCGGCTGTTTGTCTTCCTGCATAAAGGATGAATGTTTTTTTTTTTACCTCTTTGGTTGCAGAAATTATAAACAAGACACCGACGAAGAGGAGAGTGAGGAGGAGTCTGAAGAGGAATGCTCTGAAGACGATGACGAGGATGAGGAAGAAAATGACTATAAAGCCATGGGGCACAGCTGTGAGTATCTGACAGAAATGTATCCCGAACTCTTATTTAACGGTCTACATCTGATGAAGGAAGGCTTCACTATCAACATGGAAAATTGCAACGTACAGTCATTTGTAGGACTGAAAATGAGCTGAAAGAAATCGAGGATGTGGATGTGAATTACTGATATAAAAACTAAGACTAATGTGAAAAGTGAAGTTGCTCTACAGAAGTTGGTTTTGGAGAGAGAACCTTCCTCTTCGCTAGAGTTTGGGAATTAGAAGAATGCCGATGGCTGAAATCCAGGCCCCGTCCTCGCTGCGTCTCTATTGTCTGTGTATTGTCATTCATCAGCGTTCAGGGTCTGAACTCCGCTTTGAAGCTGTTCCATGTCTCACTCTGACTTCACTCAGAGAATGTGGCGCGATGAGCCCTCTGTCAGCTCCAGCCTGCGTGGCGTGGATAACGACGACGAACAGTTCCAGAGCAGATGCCTCTGATTATTTGAGTCCCTTTAGCCTATCAGCCTCAGTCTGGATCAATAGGCCTTAAGACGTCCACAATGTCCAGCTTTCATAAGCACAAGTGAACGGCAAGCATCCTGACTTGTTCTTTCCCTGCGCCTCATGTTGCTCCTGTTTACAGTGAGGCCGAGGAAGAAGAACAAGCAGTCTTCATCACGCCAGAAGAGCTCTAAAAGTAAAGCCAAGAAGGCGTCCAGCAGGCAGAGCAGCAAGCAGAGAGCCGGGCCCAGCAGCCCCGCAGACATCGACGAACTGGTGAGAAATCACTTCTCAATGTGTGGGAGAGGGAAAGAAAAAGTGGAATCAATGAGAGACATGAGCTAATCATTGTGATGATCATTTCACCAGGTGAGGCAGAGTACCCAGACGGGGGTCAGCAAGCAGGCGCTGGAGCTGGAGAGGTGTGAGGAGATCCTGAAGAAGCTGATGAAGTTCCGCTACAGCTGGCCCTTCAGGTGAGCCGGGACTAGGAACACTTACGAGACGTACTGTATTTTCTGGACCATAGAGCGCACCATACTATAAGCGTCCATAATAACTGCTGGATTTACTAATCCTTGTGTCTCCAACGCCAAACCATGGATTCGTTCACGCCGAGCTTACATGCAGCAGCTCTTTCACCCTCCCTCCAGATCGATAGCCCTCAAATTAAAAGCTGCATCATATGAGTTTCAAAGCAATTCTCCCTCGTGCCTGCTGTTAGCATGTGCTTGTTCTAAATGAAATTTAGCACTTTCTTCTTTGATTTCCAATTTTGACTTCCAGTGACTCACTTTCTGCTAAAGAGCCTCCTGGTGGTTGAAGAAAAATCGACAGAAAAGTTGCGCCTGATTATAAGCAGCATGGCAAAGATAATATCAGGCAAAGATAACCTGAACAAATATGAAATGCAGATTTAGTGTTTTTTATTTTTATGGTGATTTTAGGAGGGGAAAAAAGTGTCTTAAGTGGAAAAACATAACCCCTGCTCTTGATTTGCATGTAGACAAGAAAAAGTTTAATTCAGTCTCATCACTGAATTCACACCTCTATGATAAAGAAATAGAAATGTGACATGGCCTGAAAAAGAAACTCCACTTGAACTGACAAATGATGAATATTTCAATCTGGAAAGTGACATTGAGCCATTGCTAAGGCTTTGGGATTATTGGTAAAGACAAAGGAACAGAACTGGCTGACTCTAGTGAAACTTAGTAAAATGTGGCTAATAACTGGTATTAATGACCTGATATCTGGAGGAGGGAGTAATTACCCCTTCAGTCGTGGCGAATCGTTTAGCTCCCTGATCTTCAGTCTGATGTGGCGCTTTACGTGTTCTCTGTTGCCTTCCAGGGAGCCCGTTTCTCTGGACGAGGCCGAGGACTACCTGGACATCATCTCAGAGCCCATGGACTTCCAGACGATGCTGGGGAAGTTCGGCCAGGGCTCATACCGACACGCCCAGGACTTCCTGGAGGACATGAAGCTGGTGTTCTCCAACGCGGAGGAGTACAACCAGCAGGGCAGCACTGTGCTCTCCTGCATGGGCAAGACGGAGCAGACGCTCACCGAGCTCATCCAAAAGCTGCTCCCCGGAATCAGCTACCTCCGCCGGCGCTCCCGCAAGCGTGTCAACCAAGCTCCTCCTTCATCTGAGGAGGAGGAGGAAGAAGACGAGGAGGAGGGTGACGACGATGAAGGGGACTGCAAAGAGCAGAAAGAGGAACCCAAGAAGAAGATGCAGAATGGCAAATCGAGCCGGAAGACGGGCAGGAACGTTCGGGGCCGGAAAGAGGAGAGCGAGAGTGAGGCGGACAGCGAGGAGGAGAGCAGCAGCAGGAGGAGGAAGAGCAAGAGGACCTCCGGTGCCTCCGGCAGGAAGGATTACAGGGAGCTGGACAGCGACGGGGAGCAGGGTACGAGGAGAACTCGTCTGCGGGGGGGGCGGGGTGACGCCAGCAGCGACGAGGAGCAGCCCAGCCATCAGCAGCGACATTCCAAGAGACTGAAACGCTCGTGAGGAACCCAGGATGTCTTCTCTCCATCATAATCTGTGGACCACTGGCTCTCTTCCTCCTCCTCCTCCTCCTCCTTCTCCTGCTCCTCCTCCTCCTCACAACCAGCAGGACTCAGATCTCAGAAGGACTGGTTTTTGGTTAACAAATTTATGTTCACATTTTGGAAAACAAAAAAACGGATTTATATTTGTAACATTTTTGATATCGACAATGTTGTTGTTTTTTTGTCCCAACCAAGAAAAATGAACCTTTTACGATAATTACTTTTCCTCATGGCTCTTAGGATTAGTATTTCAGTTTGCCGTCAACATCATCACACTATCCTGACGCCTTGTCGCCAGACCGTCTCTTTGCTGACCTTTTTTTGTCCTGGGTAATTTATAGCTGCCAAGATGTTTAAATTTCATTTCTGCATTCATACTCCTGGCCAGGAATTTCAACTGGCTTGAGCTTCAGATTATCTTCAGGAACCAGAGCGGCTCATGGAGCCTCTTGTCTGTAGTGCCCTGCCACTTTAAAACACCTCAGATGATTCGCCTATTTGTATTCCTCCTTTGTAAAAGTAACGGCACCGGGCGTAAATAAAACTGTGTTTAATCATTTCTATACAGTATTTAAAACCAGTCTTTTTTTTTTTTGTTGTTGGGTTTTTTTGTTTGTTTTTGGGCTCATTTTATTTGATATTGTAAATGAAAACTTGTCCAATAAATGCACAGAGAACACGTCTCAGCAGAAATGACAATTCTTACTTTCTGTAACCAACGTGCAACTCAGTTTAGTTTAAAATTGACGCCATGTTCCAGAAAAATTGTCACTAGGGGGCGCTCTGCTTCTCCGTTTAATCCTACAGCCGCTGCAGAATTCACTGCCTGATTAAAAATATTTCATTTGAATCAGTCGACACAGAAAGTCAATGTAAATCAGATTTTTTTTAAATTAATGCCCAATGTGTATATATTTATACATTTGTGTATACAGATAAGGTTGGTTTTCCCCTCTTTTTCTGTCTGTACTGTGAGATGCTGTGTTTTACTAGTGCTGTTAACATCCAAACTTTCTAGTCACAAGTTTGTTTGTTTTTGTTTTTTTGCCCAACCTATTTCTGTTCAGCTTGGTTTTGCTCACCCAGAAATCTGTTTTTAATAAAAAAAAAAATAATAAAAAAAATCTCCCTGAGATGTCAGCGAACAAACAAAAAGGCGACTGGACCCTCTGAGGGAAATCTTGTTTGTAGATGCTTTCCTTGTTCTTGCAGGACCTGCAAAAGGCTTTTACACTTAATTTTTTAATATATATATATATTTATAGTCTAAAGCGGGGTTGAGCAGGCTGGAGGTTTCTCGTGTAAAGGATAAAGGCCAGAGACCATGGCTCTGCCTGATTTTATTTAGGCAGAGCCGAGGCCTGGTGTCAGGTCGGTCTGACAGAAATCACTGCCATCATGAGATAATGGACTGGGGAGAAGACCGGGCCAGCCTTGATGGCTGAACTATGTCTTTACTTTTTAATAAAAGATTCAAACATTTGTCATTGTCTCTGGTGGTATATTTTTGCACTGCAGCTCACTTCATTTGGATCCAAATTTGATATTTTTGGACCATCTTCATTAAAAGAATGGAAATTAGTAATAATACTTAGCATACTAATGCTTAGTTGAGTGTCTATTCCTTAGACCTTCTCGCATAACACATTTTCTACTGGATTTTACCTGAATCCAACACTTTGTAACATCACCTTTTAATGCATTCACAGCTGCAAGTCTTTTTCAAATATGTCTACCAGCTTAAGGTTTTCGCAGATGACAACATGTTCATTTTTCTTTCTCTGACCGCCTTCCTTGTCTCTGGTCGTGTCTCCATGCCGTGATGGTCCAGCCCAGTGTTTCTCAGTGGGTAAGTTGTGTTAAGGTTGATAAGTAATGCGCGTTTTCCACCGTTTTCCAGGACGCTAGCCATACTAGCTAACATTTTCCATACTAGCTAACATTTTCCATACCAGCTAACATTTTCCATACCAGCTAACATTTTCCATACTAGCTAACATTTTCCATACTAGCTAACATTTTCCATACTAGCTAACATTTTCCATACCAGCTAACATTTTCCATACTAGCTAACATTTTCCATACCAGCTAACATTTTCCATACTAGCTAACATTTGCCACGTTAGCCTGTGATCGTAATGTTGCGTTCCAGTTGCCTGGGAAACTGGAACAGCTGTAGATGAGAAAACAGAATTTCAAAATGGCTACGCCCATAAACGTTTGCAGTAACTCTTACAAACGTTTGAAGCTTCACTTTCTATAAGCAAACACCACTTTACTTCTACCGAATTGAGTCAGTATATAGTAGCTGGTGCTACACGTAACATTGATTTTAGACTCATTTTTACACGTCTTGTAAAATAAAAATGCGAAGTCCTTACCAGTTCTAACTGGAGATTCCCAGTTGGAAATCTGGCTTCGGAGGGCATTCCAGTGGATTTGTCCGACTGGGAATTTGGAATTCCCCATTGTCGAGTACAACTGGCCATGGTCTTTAACTGGAGTAGGGTGGAAGACTCCCTTGGGGTTGGAGGTCAGTCTTTGCCTCAAGCAGGGGAGTTTTGGTATCTTGGTAAAGCTGCATGTCATAATAACAAAATTGAATGGATTATTAAGTTGTCCCAGAAATCATTAAGATAAATGGTAATATTGTTGTTTGAAATCAATTTTAAATATTGATGATGCCATTATTATTCAACTTTGCTCTTTCAATGACCAGTAAACTTCAATTTTGTAAAGAACATATAACTTGAAGTCATTTAAATATCCAAAGTAAAACACAATTAGAACAGTACATAAAACAGAAACCATAAATAACACTTCGCTGATTCTTGAGAATCACACTCCAAAAAAAAATATTCTATTATTCCGCCAGCTTATGTATACAGATATGACAAATAATGGTTTGGAAATGCAAAGATGCTAAGGTGCAGGCTCCCAATGCAATTTTTTAAGGTACATTTTTAATGGACCTGACTCAGAACAGGTGAACTTTATGAATTCATTCACTATGACCAACTTATTAGTGACTCGGCTGTTCTATGACAAGATCACAGTCACACGGTGCTTGACCCTCATCTTGACCCGCACAGGACGGGTGTAAATATTTGCAGAGTGATTTGCTCAACTCAGATGGTCCACCGTCCTCACTGCTGTGAGTGGACAAAGTCCTGGTATGCTCAGTTTCTAGCAGCTTGTTCTGGGTTCAAAGATCAGCCCGCACTCTGCTGCTGTTTGCTTGTACGAGAGCAACAGCACCTGGAGCGCCGTCTCTGATCTCAGAGCCCCAGCATGAGTGAAGGTTTCAACCAGTATTCCCAGTTAGAATAAGTGATTCTGCACCATGTGGCACCAGTGATGAGGTAGAGGAAGTGTTTTATTCAGGGGAATAATGTTCTCAGCAGTTCATACAGTAGCTGCTGAAATATTTCAGTCTGAGCTGCTTTGATGGATGGAGCAGCCCAGCCAAGAGCCGTCTGATCAGCGTGGTAAAGAGTTCAGCAAGATGGCAGGATGTTAATCAGCTCGTCCTCAACTCACTGTGGGAGACGATGTCGCTTTGTCTTCCTGTTTTGACCTACCTCAAGGGGGTTTGGTGTTAAGAAAACATTTTTAATGTCCTCAACGGTGCGTTTCAATCAAGACAAACTAGGAATCATGATTATCTCCTAGATTGTCTCATTTACAGGAAATACTTGAAGAGGATCAATACTCCTTCTGGGCATTAATTGAAATGTATTGAAAGGTCACAACCTTTCAAGTTGCATGGTCCTGATAGCAACTGCATTCTTACTTGTTCTGCCACTAATCAAAGCCTGTTCCCACTGACTTCTCACATGTCTGACCTTTACTCTGATCCTCCGCACCTGTCTGCAAATTACAGACGACTCGAAAGCTGTCACTGCCTCACTGTGACATTTCTTTTCAAAGTGGTCCTCCTTGGACTTTCCCAGTGAGTCCACAGCTGGAAGGTTCCACCTAAGCAGGTGCAGCATCTTGGAAAAGTATTTGCATCCCTTCAGCTTTTCCGTATTCTGTCACGTTACAACCACAAAAAAAAAATCATATTAGTTTTGGGTGGCACCACGACCAAGAGAGAAACTCCAGCATCCCCCACCTCATTGGCAATCTCCAGCTTCCAAAGTATCCCATGTCAATGCAAAATGAAGAACCCAAAAGGCATCAGCATTAGTTTCCCAAACAACCCCAGCTGAATTATTTTGGTGTTGAGGATCAGTGGTTCTACCTCCTTGTATCCTGGATCTCATTTTCTCAGTCATAATCCAGATCCCGGGTCCATAGGATGAGGGTCAAATCACAAACCGGTAAATTGAGAACTTCAGAACAAGACACCAAGATTAATGAATGAATTGCATGATTAATCAAAATGAGCTCCATAACTTCTATTCTAATGACTAATATTTGTTGAAGGTCAATTCTGTTTACAGTACAGTGATTCTTGAAAAGAGGGACAAAACAGGTTCTATGGCTAAAGCACAAAATTTGAATAAAATCTACACAAAATATAATTTTGTCAAAAATTGAACTAAACTAACCTGAACTGTGTCAGCACAACAATGTATGTTTTCCTGGTGTTTGCTGAATATGTTTTATTTTAAACATTGTTACAGGTGGATGATGTCTTTCAAATCCCTTGTCCTGGAGCAGAACTCATTTTATTATAATGGTCTAAAACAAATAAAGGAATAATAAGATAATGTATTATGACAATTAAGTATAACTATTCAAATAAATAATGATAAAAGTATAAATAAATTTAATTAAAAATCATTTTTATATATTTTTTCAACTCAACATAAATTTGCTATTCTTTAGTTTTTTCATCTGTTTATTCCTAAGTTGTTCGTCACAATCATGATGCGTCAACACAATAACTGACGATTTACAAAATTTTGATGAAATTTTGTGAAATAAATGGTTAATTTTAGTATACTGTAAAGATTTCACGGATCTGACGAGCCTCAATATGGCCTTCAGAATAACATCATATAAATTGAGGTAGTCTGGCATTTTGTAAACTCCGTCAGAGTTTTTTTTAGTGTTGACAAATCTCACTTAAGTGTGCAGGTAATTTATTTTAATGTATTTTACATAAATGGCATTACTTCACATGTATCAAGTATTTCTGTTTACTCTCTAGTTTGTCACCACCTTTAGTTTTGTGTCAACTCCGTCAAATGGACTTTATGTTTTCTTGTTTTAAATAATATTTCTTTTGTTTGTTGAGAAGCATTTGTCTGTAAAACTGAGTAAATTGTCACTAATAGGTTCATTAAAAATAATTTCACATTTATTTTTGTCAGATGGTGGTGACATAAAAAAAATATATATTTATTTTATTTTTATTTTTTTGTATTTTATTTTAGGACTACAAACAAGTCTTTAAGTCTGACTTTAAGTCCTACTTGCTGCATTTTTGTCACATTTCCCACCGGTGCCATCACACAAAGATGACTCTGCAGCTCAAACTCTCTTGGCAGCGCCATCGCCTTTGCGGCGCACGAAGGGATTTTTTTTTCCGGCTTGTGAGTGTAAACTCCATTTATGTCATATCATGGCACACTTCAGAATAAGCTCAGTCAAGAGTCTATCACACTGGCAGCTGCAGGAATGCGCACACAGAAAATGAGGACAAGCGGCGGGGCGGTTGGAAGGGCTTGGGGGGTCGGGGGCACATCCTGACAAACTGCCAGAACAAAGACATACAAAGTAACAGATTCATTCATGGAGCTTAAACATCGATGATGGTGTATCTGGTCAAAGTTGAGAGTTGCCCCAGTTTTTATTTTTATTCGTTTTTGTGCTTTAAGATCAAATGCAACCAACTGTTAATGCATTATTCAGAAAACAGAGCCCTCTCCCCCTATTTTATCCACTGACGCGTGTTCTTTCCCTTTGATGGTATAACCAAAGTAAGCGGGAACGTAGGAGTTCAGAGAATGATTCTCCTCCTGGGAGCACAGCGCTATCATCCCAAAGGAAAAACCAGCTCTCTTCTGAAATGGTTTGCATCTTCCTTCCAAACAGGAAAGCATTTACATATCACTCATTTATCTTCTCTGCATAACACAGGCAGAGCCATCAGCGCCACGACACACACGTCTGGCCTGCTCACAGGAGATAAATCAGGAAGGTAAACGCTTTTACAGCTTTCTTCCTTATCAATAAATATTTGACTCTACATGACGGTGCAAATCTGAAATGTGTTAAAGGCAATTTAGGGAAAAGAGCGGAGAGAACAACCTCAGACTCACGTGGAGAGTCCTTTGAACTCAGGGATCCCGATGTGACAGTAGCAACAATCGGATGAGCGCACTGCGGGGAAGATGAAAGGCAGTCAAGCTTGTAGATGTAATAAGTGGGCCGAGGCCTTTCATGATTCATGCCGAGGCTTCGTTTTACTGCTCAGTCAGCCCAGTGATATCAAATGTTGAGCAGACTTGTGTTTACTGCTGTACAAA